CTTCTCTCTTTCTTTTCCCTAGTAGCTCTAAAATTTCCACTGATTGAATGGAAAAATCACACTTTGTGCAAAATTATTACTGAAATCAAATGGCAAGGAGTAACTCTAGATAATCTAATTAAGTAGTTTATTAAGAACATTAATAGCAAGACAATAGTCTATCAGTGAACACAACAAAATAGAACTGAGAAAAAATGGAGTCAGCAGATTTTGAAACATCAGATTTATACATGGGACCTAGTATAAGAAAGAGTTAAAGATGGGTATACATAGGATATATTCTTTAAACAATCCCAACAAAGAATCTTTCTAATTAAACTAACCAATAACAAGCTCCTATACTAAGTAAGTTGGCAATAAAAAGACTGAATCTATACAAACAAGTGAGATGTATTACATGTAGTCAATAAGACGAAACCATAGAATACTTACTAGAATGTTCAGTCTATAAGGATTAACTAAAAAAGGTATGGAATAAAGGAGTAGATGGAATTATTAGAAATTTCAAAGAGCTACTAGGGGAAAAAAAGAGAGAAGCTGAAGAGAATAATCCCAGATTAATAATCAATGATAGAGAAGAGATAGAAAAGTTTAACAAGTGAATCTTTAAAGTAATAGAACAGGCTTCTAAAACTAGTCAGGACATGCTAAGTTTTTGTACTGGCCTTATAAGAACAGATATTATCCTAGAAATTTTAGATCTAAAATGTTAAGGTAAATGTATAGAAAGAATAGCAAGACAATGGATGATAAAAATACAAAGAAGAGTCTATAATCAAGTTCAAAAAGAAGTCTGGAACAAGAGATGCAAAAAGGTAATTGAGTGGGAAAAATTGTAAGGAATTGATAGAGAGAACAAGACAAGAAAACCTTCATGTCTTTCAAGCTGGAAAACTGTACTCCTGAAGAAGGAGACTTTGAAGATGAAGGCCTCTGAGAAATTCTAACAAGAAAAGTGGATTATGGAATAAAATGGTTGAATTTTAAGCTTTGTTAGAACATCGCAGGGTGATCTACAGCAGTGACTTGCAGACAATGAAGTTAACAGTTGGAAAGATCTTTATCTGAACCATTAACGAAGTGATAAATCACTTCTGAAGTTGCATTTAGAGTTTTAATAATTCTTTAAAATAGAGATAAGTGAGTTAGGTAGAGACTTAGCTTTAGTGATACATTCTTTAATGTAAAGTATACATATGTTTAATAAAGCACACATACCTAGCTTGACAAAGGATTTAAATAAAAAAATAAAAAAATAAAATAAAAAAAATTTTTTTTAACTTTCTTTAAAGACTTATTTCTTAAAATATTTTTTAATAAAAAATATTTTATTGAAATATTCTATCTTTTTTGATTATCTAAAGAACTTATTTATCTTTTAATTTAATCTTTTAGTTATACTGTTTATTGAATTTTTGTCTTTTAAAGATAATTTAAAAAATTTATTATTATAATATTTAACTGAAATAAGATAGAAACTATTATCAAAACTTTATCTAATTGAAATAATAAGAATAGAAAGACTTTAATTTGCATAAATAACAACTTTTTCATTATCCAAGAACTTGTTACTTAAATCTTATTGATTTCATGAAACATAAAATATAAAAATAAAATAAAATAGAACTGGTATATCAATAAACTCTTTTATAAATTAATAATGTTATTAGAACACGTGTTGTAATCAATAGAAGTTTAATCAATTATCTTTAAGTGTTAGTGAAAAATTTTTATATAAGTTTTTTATATTTTTTTCATTAACTTGCTTTAAGTTAATCAATTATGATTCAAAAAATTTCATATTATAAAAACTTCATATTATATAAAAAGCATTTTCGAATTGATAAAAGGATCACAAAGATATACATTTGATTTATGTATAAAGATTATTAGGAATTTGACTTTTGTTTAAGAAAAGTATTAAGACTTTATTAGCTTTTGAAGTCCAAAAACAAGTTTTTTAATTAAAAAATTTCTATCATATACTTTACAGTATATTAGAAATATTAATTATAACGCCTTTTATATAAATTTTTTATCGAATAAATATTTTTAATATTATTTTTTTTCATTCATAATATTACTTTTTCGTATTCATTATTAAAAGTAAATCCAGCTGGGTTTAGGTGCGTAAATGAATTGATTTGTTTGAAGATAATTCCCTATTTAATATCTGATACAACATTTATCTAAGAAAAAATAAAGGCAACTTGTTATTACGTATTTTTAACGCCTTTGGTAATTCATATTTTACTGAAAAAGGAAGGTTCTCCTCGACCCAGTATTGTTCATGCATCACAAGAACTCCGATGATTAAAGTGGTCAGATGACGTGTGTTACCGATGATGCAAATTCGACGACCCTGCGCGAATTAATAGGTTCCCTCATCGTGACACAGGTGAAACACACACACCAAACGTTGCTCGGTCAATCAGTCACCTCATCTGTTTGGCTGTCTGCGTTTGCGAAACATTGGTCGTATTTATTTATTTGCCTGCGCTATTAATTTTCTTCTATCTTTTCCTGTCGCCTACGATATTCCCAAAACCCGTTCTACAATAATCTTTTTGAACGTTTTATTCTGATAACCACTATGGCTGAAGCTCAAACACGTGAAGATTACGTCTATCTAGCCAAGCTCGCTGAGCAGGCCGAGCGTTATGAAGGTGAGGGTCGGTGAACCTACGAAATGAAACTGATATCATCTTTGCTCACCTCATATGCGTATAATTCTTTGAAGTTTTTACTGGCATTAATAAGTTCAGTCAATGTCAGTATTTTGCGCAGTGAAACTTTGAATATATTAAGGAAAATAGGTTTACTAAGTTGAGTTAATCTATAAGAAACTGCGGCTATAGTCATCTACGTTCTTTTTAAATTGAGAATTTTTTAAGAAGCGGAAAGGTCATTCCCTATATATTGATGCTTAATGGCATGTCAAACAAACAAAAAAAAAAATTGGAATAACAACAGTATATTCGTTTGGGGTGGTTAAATAAGAATTATGAGAATTATTTCGATTCAATTTGAAAGAAGTTGTGCTGATTATCACGTGTTTAATCTACCGTCATGTGGAAACGAAATGTCAAATTTGAATTGGTTTTTTATTTTTCTTGATTTTTCAATTTTACGTCTCAGAAATGGTGGAAAACATGAAAAACGTTGCATCTGCCGATCAAGAACTCACCGTTGAAGAACGTAATCTCTTGTCCGTCGCTTACAAGAACGTAATCGGTGCTCGAAGAGCTTCTTGGCGTATTGTTTCCTCAATCGAACAAAAAGAAGAGTCCAAAGGCAACGACACCCAAGTTGGTTTCATCAAGGAATATCGTTCAAAAATCGAAGAAGAATTGACCAAGATATGTGATGACATTTTGGAGGTACTGGACCGTCACCTGATCCCATCGGCAGCGACAGGCGAATCCAAAGTATTTTATCACAAAATGTAAGTCGCGCAAGTTTTGTATCTTGCTTTAGTAAGCCTTAACATAATAATCAACAATTATCAATGTTTGATTATGTTAGGAAGGGCGATTATCACAGATATCTCGCTGAGTTTGCTACCGGGGAAAGACGTAGTCAATCCGCCGATAAATCCTTGGAAGCCTACAAAGCTGCTAATGAAGTTGCCGTCACTGAGCTTGCTCCTACTCATCCAATTCGATTGGGATTAGCACTGAATTTCTCTGTGTTCTACTATGAAATTTTGAATTCCCCTGATCGAGCTTGCCACCTAGCTAAGCAAGCGTTCGATGATGCCATCGCAGAGTTGGATACCCTCAGCGAAGAGAGTTACAAGGATTCGACGTTAATTATGCAGTTATTGAGGGACAATTTGACACTTTGGACGTCAGATATCCAGGATAGCAGTAAGTTAATTTTCCTTATGGCATTTCCATTATCCTCGATGGTATAACTGATGTTGAATGATTGAACTTTTAACCATTAGATGATAAGCCCGAGGTTGCCAAAGATGAAGAGGTTGCACCAAAAGAAGAAAATCCTTAAGTTATTTTATCGCATTTAAAACATATTCATCATTATTATATATAGTTCATTCCTTTGTCAATCGGATTTGTTTTTATTTACATTACAAACAAAAGTGTGAAATACGACTTACGTACTAAATGGTTTATTTAAATGATGAAGTCAATTACTTTTCACTATTTCATCTTCGTTCGCTCAGATACAGATTCAATATAGAGCATTTGTAGAAATCTGGGTTTTTGGCTTTATATAAATTTTTTTTTTTTTTTTTTTTCATCTGGGTGTTGGGAATTATTGCAGGTGTGGGAAGTGGGAAATTAACCTTTATGCTCGTCTCCTGATTTGACCCTCGATACTTAAATCCTTTCCAAGCGTAATAAAACAATTTGGGTCGTATACAAACTAACATATCTCGAATTCCTGAACTAGGGAATTATAGTATCTGCACTCCCGTTATAAACGCGGCATTTTATTGTAAATATTCAACGGGATTCGGATTCCTACGAAGTTTGGATAAAAATAACAATGCAATGCATTCGTTAATTAATTTATCTTACGTAACAGATAAATAATTATGTTATCACTAATGATGTACAGGGAAATTATAAAGTTTATGTAACTAACAGTAGTAATTGAATATATTGTATATAAAACATTTTAGTATTAATCATGGTTTATACAGTATATAAATATCATTAATAGAATTTTTATACTTTAAAAAAAAAAATTTTTTTTTTAGCAATATTGCTGATAGTATAAAGAAGAGAGAAAAAAAAAATAGATATTATAGTGAGTCTATCAAAAAAGCAAGACAAAGGAAGTAATTTTTAAGCAACATAACAAATATTTCAATAAAAGAAAAAGAGGTTTAATAGCTTCAATGCAACATTCTTACCTGAAACATATATAGTCTTTAATAGTATTATAAATAGTATTTTATAAAAAAAAACGGATATCTATCTAGCATATTATCTATAATAACAAGAAAAAAAGAAGGAAAAAATTCTATAATAAAAAATAATACTTAGGTATTATTAAAAATATTAATATAAAAACAAAACAATATAATCAAGAAAATAATCAATCCTATAAAAATTATTATAAATATAAAAATTAAGTCAACAATAAAAAATAAAATAATATTATATTCATAATTAAAATAAAATAATAATACAAAGTTTAAATATATATATATATATATTTTTAACCCGCAATCAGATTAACATGGCATATCTTTATTGTATATATGTTAGATATTTACAAATTGTTATAACTTTTATATAGTAACTTACTTGTCGTCAAAAAATTATTTCTCTAAATACAATCTAGGGAATGATATTTCATTTTTTTACTAATTTGGATAACTCCTCTAATTAATAAAATTAATGCCTACAGATTATTACTGTAAATCATTCTAAGTTCTGTTTACAATTAAAAATCAAACCATTTGATTCCATAACAAATCCAATCCTTAATAATTGCTGTGTACTTATTTCCTTTTTTTTCCTTAGTGCCTTCCAGGTTCAGATCCTTCAGAGATAGTAATGCTGCTTTTTGATCCTATCCTGTTTGTATATTAAATTTGTACTTATGTCTTTTATTTCTTTTATCTTTTTCAATAATTTTTTACTTCTTTTTTCATTCTATAACTTTAATACAGTGATTATTCTAGATCTTCTTTTTGAAGTTTCCTCACATCTTTTGACAGAACTTTCCGATTACACTCTATGTAGTTGCAAATAGAATCTTAAGTTGTTCTTTAAGATATTTCTTCAAGGAAGAGGTCTTATCTTTTTCTATATATCCACAGATAGTATTGAAAAGACTCTTATCAGATTTCTAAATCTCTTTCAACAATTTGTCTGTCCAATCATTTATTGTAGTTTGAACTTCTTCTTTATCTTTAACTTCTTTATTAATATATTTATAAATTTTTCCATTTGCTTTCTGCTATATATTTTCCCTGGTTTTTTTAGTGGCTAGGTATTCAAAAAGATATTCTAATGTTTTTTCTTAAAGTTCACATACTGAACAAGTAGTTATAGTGTATATATTTGTTTCCTTTTTTTAAGTATCTATAGAACTAAAAGCATATTATGGATTAGATTGAGATTAGAAAGCTTTTGTCTTTGTTGGTCTTGAAAGAGGTATCAAAAGTATTAATCAGATTAAATTAATTCTAAAAGATTAATCAGTTTATAACTTTATTATTTTGGATTCAAAAATTCCAAATTCTTTTCTATGTTGTTCAGTCTAGTTCAATTCTTTTCTTATTGAAAATTTGAATGAAATTTCTGATATCAATATCTATTGCATATTCTCTTCACATGATATTGTAAAAACTCTTTCTAGTTCTAATAGCTGATACCAAGTTATTGAATTCTTCCACCTAGCCTGTTTAGCAAGTAAGTCTACTTGATTGTTGAATCTGTTGGTTCTATAGGCTTTGATTTTCAAAATTTTCAAATTTAGGTCTTTCTTCTTCATCAGGTCTTTAATTCTATTTCACAGTGGCCAATTGATAGTCTTTATCTATCTTCTTATTAATGTCTCAATTTGTGAGCAGATGAATTTCCATATTTTGACTGCTATGTTGCAATCAGTATAAATCATGATGGTTCTATTTTAAGAAGCAGTATATAGTGCAGTAAAATAGTCAATATTTCAGCTTTGATTGCAGATGGCCAAGTGAGAGCTTCTGCTGAAAACTGTTTAATCACTTTGTCATTTTTTATTAAGATTCAAGCTAAATCCATCTTGAGTTTACAATTTGTTATCTCTTTTTTATAGAAGCTATCAATATAAAAAGTAAGCTAATTAATTATATTTTTTTTGTTATATCTTAGAATATTTATAAGTTTACTTTATATTCTTTTGTTTGTATGGATTGTTTTATTAATGTGATATTCTAGTCTTTCACTTGAATCTATACTTCTAAAGGTTTGATAGTTAGTAGAATTACTATTTGGTGATATGGATTTATCTGTCAGTTTATAGGATTTCTTCTATTGACTGCACTGTTCTATCTGATTGAAGATAGATATGATTTTTAGTAAAGTTATATACTAGTTAATATGGTGTAAAATGGAGTTTATTGTTTACAAATATTGTCTTTCCTAATATATCTGTCAGAGTATTAGTATAAACTATCTAGTATGTCTTCCTTCTATCTAGATTTGTTGGAAATATATCAGTCTGTATATTATAAACTGTCCATTCAAGTCCATATAGAAAGTTTCATAGAAGATCTTGATTTATTGTTGTCTTCTTATGAACTTTTTTGTACCAGAAGAGGACTGGTCTCTTGTATCTGTTAAAGAAAATTTGAATTGTTCTCCATTCTTTGAGTATCCTCATAGTAATATTAATAAGCTAATCTAGTAACATAATCTTATACTTGCATAGCCTTTTCATATTTTCTATCATCTTATAATATTGATTTGATAAACAAAGAATCTCCCTAATAATTAAATATTTTTTTCTATCTTCAACTTTGAAAGATAATTTGTATATTTTTTATTAAGCCAGTGTTATAGCTATCAAATTTTCTTTAATTAGCTTTTGAAAGTCAATAGAATTTTCTAAAATATTACCAGACTCTCAATATTTAATTTGATTCTGTTTTAGTCTAATTATGGTAGCAATACCAGAGGCCTCATTATTATTGAGTTGACAGAAAAGTACTGGTATATGACTTTCTGGTTGTATTTTCCAGATACTCTTGAGACTATATATTTCTTTATTGTAAATACAACTGTTTAGAATTATTCCACAGACTAAGGCCTTGTTCTTAAATACTTTTTTAAACATGACTGTGAGCTTATTGCATATCTTTTTATTTAAATGTGTATGTTGCATTTTATATTCTATTCTTGAAATCAAGACCCTGTTAATAACATATCAGGTATGTTTTTCTGTTAACTTTTTCTTAGTTATTGCCTAAATTACTGTTCTGATTTCTGATTTTATTAGGTTGATGATATTATGATTCTTTTGTCTTGGTTCTAGTCAGATACCAAGAAATCTAACCTGATTCTCCTTATTAATTTTATAGACTATAGTACCCTCTGTTCCAGCTTGAATGGTTCAGGAACTTGCAGATTCAGATTAATAGTAAGAAAAATTGACTTTTCTATATTAATCTAATAATCATTTGTTATATAGTACTTTTTTGCTTCTTCCAAGATCCTTTCTAGATTTTCTTTAGATTTGACAATCCAAGTTGTGTCATCCATATAAGCAATTACTGCCTGCCTTAAAGAGAGCATAACTTTTTTCTCAGGTTTGTTGAAATTGAGTGACTATTCTTCTTTATAGAATAATCTAAGTTGTCATTATTTTGAATCTTGCATAACAGTGGATTATAGAAAATTTTTTATAAAAGTGGAAAAAATTGTTTCACATTGATCTATAACATTCCCTGCTATTATTGGATTAGAAAGTCCATTAGAAAAGATGATACTATAACTTCTATCTTTGAAAAGATCTATTATAAGCTTCTTGATAGTTGTAGAAATTCGAATCTGATCTATAGCCTTTTCAAATATATAAAGAGCTATTGTATTATATATCTTAGCAATATCTTGAAAGAGAATCTATAATTCTTTTTTCTTTTCTCTGGCTTCTTCACAGATGTTATTCAGCAGGTAGATAGGCTCTGCTGTACTCTCTCCTTGTAGACCAGCAAAGTTTGAACCTTTTAGGATTTTGTATTGCATATATATAGTTAATAGTTAGTTAGTAAAAATTTTGATAAAGCATTTTTGAGCTGTTTCTAGAAGATAATAGATCTTGTGTTGCTTAAATCATATTCCAAGACTTGGGTTTTGAAATAGAATAGATGTTATTGCATTTTCATTTTCTAGGTATCCAGCCCATACTTAAGACTTTGTTGAAAAGAAGACATAAAGTTTCTTTTCTTTTAACTCCTAAATGCTTGGATATTTCATAGTTGATATATGAAAGGTCAATAGCCTTGTTGTTTAAAAGGGATTGTAAAATAGCTTCAAGCTCTTTTACTT